GTCTCATTTTAAACTAATAAGTTTTTTACTGCATGAAATAAACAACTGCTGGCTCTATACAGCAGGAGCCTCTGCGAGTCTCCTTATATGGTACAGGAAACAAACCCTGGGTTAAATATAATTTCTGCATGAGTCGGCAATCCCTTTTCCTCCCTTGTGGGTGGTCATCTTTGCTCCTGCAAAATTCATGCGTTTCCAGAAGGGTCTGCTTAATTGTTTTCCCTTCCAAATGAAATCAGAATCTCAGAATCCTAGCAATTAGAGATGGAAATAACCTAAGAGGGCACTGACCTCATGGATAGGCCCAGAGCAAGACTGTGGTTTGTTCTCTTCATATGCTCCAAAAGCTTTAGCCAGGGCAGTTTTAACCATCCTAAACCATTAGAGGCAGACATGCCACATTAGCTTCCACCCTCCCTGAGTGCCACTCTGATCCCCTTACCCCGCCCGATCTGTTGCTCTGCTTTCTGCTTTCTTCCCAGTACTCCCAGCCTAATCTGCTACTTTGCTTTCTGCTCCCAACCCTATTTACCGCTATGCTCCCTCCCGGATCTGCCGCGCGCCCCAGACAAGGGCTGCCCATGCCACTTGGGGCGCATTTTTACCTAAGCAATAGGACTTCCATCACTTCTCAGACAAGTTAATTTCATGATTTGCAATATTTGTCTGGTAAATTTTCTTTTGGTCAAAATAATTCCTCCAAGGCCCACTAACGCTCTTTACAAGGGAAGGGGTATCCCCATCAAAGTGATCTTGGGAAATTATGTTCTGCTGATGTAATCTTTTCTATATATTCAAATAAAACCTAGCTTTCTTTAGGCACCCTCATTCCCTCTGCTCCACTAGCGATGCTGCCTTATCACTTCACTTGTTTCTCTCTTGCCCTTCTATCTTTCTGCATTTTCCATGTTGCCTTATTTACTTAAAACAAGTTCCCTATTTCATGACACCAAACTACCCTCTTCCCAGCCTTCAGCTCACACCAGAAGTTGGTTTGAAATAATTATGGAAAAATAATTGCTAGAAATTCCACTAAATTGTCTCTGTGATTTTCTTGACCATTTTTTCTACCCCTTTTCAAACACATTTTTGAGCTCTCATATTAAAAACATTTGTAAAATTGTATTCTTTATCATTGAGCCTTTGCATAAAGGCTGCCTCTTAATCAACACCTCATTTATTCGCTTGTCGCAGGCTGTTAAAATGGGCACCAGAATAAGAACCTAAAGGTAGGTTGTGATAACATCATGTCTTTGAAGTTTCTAAGCTGTCTCAGTATCCATATGACATGATCATCATTATTGCTTCCACTTTTTAGCTAGAGATTGAGCTTTAAAGAGGTCTTCTACTCTCCTAGGGTTTTGTTTTGCTGAGAAAGAACTGCAGAGTTTCTGGGAGTACGTTCATTTTGCCCCAGTATAAATAAGCTTGGAAATATTTTTGTTTTTATTTGATGCTCTGATATTTTCTTTTACAAGATATCTTAAAAGAGGTCAAATGTCATGTTGTCCCAAACTCTAACAGAGTAGTGATCAAATGTTATTGTTCTTCACATGGAAATTTGTTTAAAAGAGGATGTGGTATGTTTTCTTATGGCTTGGGATGTAATGTTATTTTTACCGATTATTGAGTTACACGAAGAACATTTGTGTAGAACTGTTTATAATTTTTGTGCAACAAAAATGCATGTAGAAGCTTGCAGAAAAGTGAAATGATTTCTAACTAACTTTGTATAGGTTATACATGATTCAGAGTTAATACAGGCAGTCCTCGATTTTCAAGGTTTCGAGTTACGTTTTGTACTTACAACGTTTATAAACTGTTTCAACTTTACAATGCCAGTTTCGACTTACAACGCTTGATCCAATGCAACGCCATGACAGCAAACAAGTTTGCTGCGTTGCTCATCTCCCTGGAGAACATCTGTCCAAACTGTCCTCGGACACTTTCTTTAAGAAAGCCGACAAGACTCCAGAAAAACCTGCAGCCGAGACTCCTGAGAAGACTCCTGAGAAGACTCCAGCCAAGAACCCTCAAAAAGTCCAACCAAGAGTCTTTCAAAAAGTCCAGCAAAGTCACCTCAAATAAGTCTTTTCAAATCAATATGATTGCTATTTACAATAAAAATATATTAAAAACATTTGTAAAATTGTATTCTTTACTATATTACTCATCTATAAATGATCAAGTACAAAATTCTGGGGTATCTTTGGTGAAAATAGGATATCGGGCCCTGGTTCAGGAACCAATCCCCCATTTATAACATTGTTTCTTATGAGAAAATTGGTTCCGAGTTACGATATGCTTGGTTGGAGGGCAACAGGGCAGGCCCTATGAGAAGAGGCTGAAGGACCTGAACCTGTTCAGCCTCAGCAAGCGGAGGCCGAGGGGGGATTTGGTGGCTGCCTACAAACTCGTTAGGGGAGATCAGCAGCAAATAGGAAGGGTCCTATTCCCCCCAGCAGTACCTGGGGTGACAAGGAACAATGGCCAGAAGCTGCTGGACAATAGGTTCAGGTTAGAGATTAGGAGGCACTATTTCACTGTCAGGGTAGCTAGGATCTGGAACCAACTTCCTAGGGAAGTGGTCCTTGCTCCTACCTTGGGTAAATTCAAAAAGAGGTTGAATGAACACCTGTCTAGGGTCGTGTGATCCCAGCGTGTGCTCCTGCCAGTGGCGGGGGGTTACCCCGGCGTGTCCTCCTGCCAGTGGCGGGGGGTTAAACTAGATGATTTATTCAGGTCCCTTCTGACCCCTAACTACTATGAAACTACGAAATGTTTCGACTTAAGACGTGGTTGTCAGGAACCAATAGCGTCGTAAGTCCAAGGACTGCCTGTATACTCTTTTATTAGTCTATTCTATGAATATCTACACTTCTTTTTTTTTTCTTAAGAAACACTATGTTTTCATTATATTTCATTTAACATTTCCCAACCTAATTTATTTTGTCCACAGTTCTTCAATGACCTACATACAAGACTATAATAAAAAATAAAAAAGCAAGCATGCGATAAATTAATGCATTCGCGTTTCAGCTTTAAAACATCCAATCGGGTCATCTCTGTTTTTCTCAAATATCCAAGTTTTTGGCATGTCGTCTCTTTTTGTTATATTCAGGTTCTGTATTGGTTATTTTTTTATTCGGTAAACAGGTTATACAGTCAATGGCTAACAAAAAAACTTAAGCTTGGGTCGGCCGTAGCACATAGTCCAAGAAATGTCCAAAGCTTCTCTCTCTTCAGCCCATGATATGCCAAAACATTTATCTGTCACTGGACTCATCTATACAAGATGCTATGTTGCAGTAGCAGCGCACTATGATAACGTAGCATCAGCAGTCATGAACCATGACACCACAGGTATGTTGCCATAGCGATGCAGTCCAGTTATACAGTGATGTCACGTCACTACAGTGATGTAGTGGCAAAAAAAAAAAAATAATACATGGCCAGCATGGCACAATATGGGCTGTTACTGTGCCATCATTTAGGACTTCCAAAAGGCTAAATGATGGCACAGTAACAATGGCACCACACGGCCATGTGTAAACACAGCCACCGATATTGATATTCTAGGCTCCCTCATTAGCATTTATCCACAAAATGTCATGTATCCTTGCAGCCTAAATATCATTTATTTCTGATCTCTACTGCTATCTGGGCCTTATAGCCATCTTCTCCTCTGTATCATTTAGGTATCACTAACAACAGGCCCCTAACACAGTTGTTTTATTCAGTTTTATTCACCTGCCATTGCCTGGAATAGAGGATATTACAGACCATAAGGGTGGCTCCTTTATATCTTCCTGAATCCTCAAGGTCTGCTGGGGCACATCTACAGAGCTGATCACTGAGGCCTGATCTGGGCAACTGGATTGGCATGTTGCAAGAGCTACCAGTAAATAGGCATTTTTTTTTCCATGAGCAGATATATAGAATGAGTTACAAGGAGGGTTATTCCCTAATCTCAGGGATGAACAAACTGACTCTTCTCAGCTTTTTCAACTTGTCCAGTTATCTTAAACCAAAGAGTATGGACAGGCAGCAGAAATGGATTGAAATTAGTTTACTTACTCAAAGATGAAACAATTTTTAAGTCACAAAGATAAGCCTCTCCTGTCCTCTCTTAGGGAGGAGGGGAGTGAAGACTTCAAGCTCCACCACATTCCTCATGCTGGACTGAATTGAGGAAAAAAGAGGAAAGAAACCAGCAATTCACTTTGTAGGGAGTGAAGGGAAGGTATTATCTGTTAGTATGATCCACCCCAAGAGAAACACCTGCTTGGCCACATTTATGAGTTCTTTAGTTGAGATAAATGCAG